TGTATAATTATCACAAGGACCTTAAGAGGTAGTATATCATTTTCTCTACTTTTACAGTTGAGGAACCCCATGTTCTAATAAGTTAGTGACTTACTAATCCAAATAGATGTCAGACGTCAGAGCTAGGATTTAAAGTCAGATACTGTCAACAAAAAAATCATAAAGAATAAGACATGCACACATGTCTCCATTTTCCAAAGAGCAGGTTCTGAATTCTAAAGCCTATTTATAAAACAGGTGAATAAGTAATGCTGAATCACCTAAGTTATAACCTCACGACTTATTAGTCATTTTTCAATTTGCAATGTAATGGTGTAAAGTGGCATAGTAACTAATTCTTAAGATTTTATATACCCTATGTCTATAGAAATATACTTTAAATACAAGCAACTTCTTTTATTTTAAATTACAGATTTGTTGTAGAATAAGTATAAGGGGGGAAAAGAAAAAACAACTGCCTGATAGTCCAGATGTCAGAATTCAAAAATAAATTTATCAAACTTTTTTCTAAAATACTTCTCATATTTTTTCCCCTCAAAATTGAGAAGCCAGTTCATAATCAACTGCAATCTCACTTGAATTTCTTCCGCTATAGCAGCAAATCTCATTTTAAAGCAAAGCTAACAAAAATGGCTTAGAGCTGCAATTGAGAAGCAGATCAACTACAGCAAAAAATGAAGTTGGATCTTCAACCACTGCAGGTTCTTGCTCCACTAAATTAACACAATCCTCTTTTTTCTTGTATTAGAGATACATTAAAAATTATTATGTATTATTATGTATTAGAGGTACATTAAAAAGTGCCTATATAAAAATTATATAATATTGCCTATATTTACATAAACATGAATATATGCATCCATGCATACACTAAAATGCATGGGCTTTTAAAAAATTATTTATTTTTTAAAAAGATTTTATCTATTTATTTGACAGAGAGAGAGACCACAAGTAGGCAGAGAGGCAGCAGAGAGAGAGGAGGAAGCAGGCTCCCTGCCAAGCAGAGAGCTCAATGTGGGGCTCAATCTCAGGACCCTGAGATCATGACCTGAGCCAAAGGCAGAGACTTAATCCACTGAGCCACCCAGGCGCCCCTGCATGGGCTTTTAAATAAAGAATGTATAAGGATAGTTTAAGTTTTATCACTCACCTAATCACATGAAATCATGTTAGGGTATATCCCAAGGCTTTTTTTTTCCTTCATTTTCTTCATAGGCATTTGTCACAGAATGATGAGAACATTTTGCTTACCTAGCTTAACAGGTTGCATTATTTTTGTCATTTTAAAAATGATTAGTCATAATCACTGGTGCTCCTACACCATTAAAAAAAAAAAAACCCTACAAGCTTATTTTGGGAAAGTAAAGAAAATTAGAAAAAGTAAGATTACCTATGGTCTTCTTATTAAATATATATGAATTTTGTTTGTTGGCTTATTTATTTCCTGGGTTTTTTTTTGGTATGCATTTTAGTAATTTAATTTTTTTTTTTTTTTTGCATCATTGGGATTACATAGATTTATGAAAATTTGTCCCAGGTACACTTTGTGAAATTTTTCCTATGTTATAATGGACCCTTTAAAAACATTATTTTAAGTATTCTCATAAAATACTGTCATCTGGTTGTAGCAGATTTTACTTCTCCGTTCTTGTTTACTGAGGCAGTAATGACTTTTTACTTATTGCTATTACAAATAATACTCTCGTGAACATTTTTTTCCACAATCCCATTATATAACTCAAACGATCTCTTTAGGACTGGTTTCTAGAAGTGTATCACAGATAATGACTCTTTTTAAGGCTCTTGGTAAGTATTGCTATTTTCTAGAAAGTTTGAATCTATTTATGCTCTCAAATTTAGCTTATGAAATGGCCTATTCTACAAAACACTCACTTGCACTATTACAATGGTTTTAATATGGATACAATGGTCATTTAATAAATAAGCCAGTATTCAGATAATTGCTTACTAGAGTTTAAATGAATATGTGCTATTATTTTAATTAAAAGGCTAAATTATATGAAGATTATTTAATTGTAGGTTTTTAAAAACTAGTGAGACTACACATTCTTCTATACTGATGAAGATTATTCCAACTTTAATTTTTGCAAAGCCTGAATTTATTCAAGTATGGAACATGTGACACAGTGGTCTATTTGGTTTTATCCTAGGTTGAGTGGGATCTACAACGACATGGGTAGATGGGGCAATTTCATTCCGAAAACTCATTATCTAGTCATATCTAATTGTTAATTATCATATTTAGGTTGGTTCTAATCTACTAAAGTAGAAACGACATGGGACAGTCAGACAAAAAGTAAACAAAGGAAAAGATCCGGTTTTCCAGAGTTGAGAAGTCATTTTAGAAAGACCTCATGGTATATAATAGTGCAGGTTTTCATAAATTAATTAATTTCATGACCTACCTATCAGGCTGAGTGATTTGGAGCTGAACTATAAACTTGTTAAATTAAATCTAAATTCAAATAAATGATCATTACAGTAGCTATAATGAATAGGGAGCAACAAGATTTTTGAATACAGCACCATTAGTGAATTTGCAGAATGAAACTGTGATATTTCTCTGGGTAAGCAAGGAGATAATGTACAGATAAGATTATCTGTAACATTTAACTTCTCATCCTCATACACTCAGAATTCTGAGAATTCACACCCAAGTAATACACCTGGCTTCTGCTCTAGCACTTTTCTTTGGATCAGAAACACCCCCCCCAAGCACAACCAACTGCTAAGCCCAAATGGAAGACTGAAAAAAAGAAATATTTTTTCGAAACTCACAGATATAAAGGTCCTAAAAGGAAAGTCATTTTAAAACCTCAGCAGCCAAAATGTTTCTCACTTGTTTTCACAGTCCATTTACTCTTTCTATCACATTTCCCATTTTCCTGTTTTCTGATGACGTTTTCTCCTGGGACAAAAGGGAAGGAGAAAGTGAATGCTCATGTTTTCACAATGGGCTCTAATATTCCCATCTTACAAATTACTGCTTTTTGTTTAGTCTATGTACTTTACTTTGCATATTGATTATCACTTCTTATTTCTTTTTTATTACCTTACAGGCTCCTTTCCATCTATAATGGGAGAGAATATACAGTTAACAATCTCTTTTCTACTTTAATCATTATTCTGAGGCTAGACTTTGAAAGAGTGTTCATCTTACCATTTCTTTAAGCTTGTGGTTTGTGGATGTAAACATATCAAATGTATTTTATTCTCACAACACTTGAGCATACTATGAGATAATAATTAACACTTGACTCTTTGCCTTCCCCAACTCCATTTAGCATTATTGATTCCTAGGGCTGTCTAAGCATTGGAGCAGTTACTCATTTTGCCAGAGATTCAGGATCATGTACCAATTATCTCCTTTTTTGAAGCAAACGTATTTCCAGGAGGTATGATGATAGTGTATTTGTCTCCAGATGTGGCCATCAAAATAAAAAAATAATTGGTTTGTGTGAGGTGAAAGCATGCTCTTTATTTAAATGTATGACTCTCCACAGTTTTGACTTTTAAGTCACAGCTCAGTATATTATGAGAGAATCAAAGTTTATGCAAAGTTTTTGTAGGCACCCAACCAGTAATGATATTTCATCTGATGACTAGATATCTTTAAAAGCAGTACATATTACAAATTGTTTAAACTGTGCCGTTTAAAGTGGAATGCAAAATATCAAACTATTATAATGATGATTGTAAAAACCCGGAAACTTTCTGAGCAGTGTATTAATTTCTGTGTATTTATTCATTCCCAGTTATTAGCTTTTGATTTTTTTAAACTTGAGCAATTGGACATTAGGTCCATTTTGTTAGCCAAGGTAGGTAGTAAAACTCGGGCTGCATATCCAGTGTTGAACTAAAACATTGCCTTCTAGGCAATGTAGTAGCAAGAAGAATTTGTGTGTTTGGGGAAGGGTGGGGAGTGGGTCTGAAAGAATGGTTATTAGTGATACCTCTGCTGCTAACCAGCTATATGCCTCTGTACAAATTAACTTTCGGGGTTCTTTTTTGTACCAAAAAAGGGACTGAATTCATCTTTTCACCAAAATTTCACACGACTTTAACATTTTAATATTTTACAATCAGAATCTTACTACAGCTTCCCATGCACAATTTCCCATAATCCTCTACTTTTGTGTCGTCCCTTTAGAGAACAATACAGTGACAAGCATTCAAAAACTTTACCTGACTACTGATGGTGTATCTAAGATTTTAATGTAATTATTCTGGAAAAGTCCTAAATAAAAAGCTCTAGTTTTAGCTCCTTTGGGAGAATTTGTCCCCAAAATATCATAGGTTAATCTCCAGTTACCTGACTCCATTCCTAAAATCTTTAAAAACCCTCTCTTAAAAAAAAAAAAAAAAAAATCATAATGACTGAAACTACAGATCCCATGAGGCCGAAGAAGGGAACCGGTATTTCCCCCTCAGCCCCTCCCCGCCCCTTGCATGCAGTTCGCTAAAACTCAGGTTGAGGCATCCTCAAATATGCCTGAAAGAAATGCCGGCTGTTTTGTCCCGCTTTTCAGCTGAGCTCTCCCCGGGTTCCTTTAAATCGGTGCTGAGAGTGAGGAAGGATACAGAGCGACGCAGCGCGGGATGGGCGCGGGCGCGGCCATCACCTGTTCCAAGAAGGGCATGCGCACTGCGAGGGCGCGGGCGAGGAGGCGGGGCGCGGTGGGAGGGGCGGACGGCGCCCGGCTGGCACTGCTCAGACCTGCTTCTCCCCGGTTCGGGGCGCTGAGGAGGCTTCGGGGAGTTGTCCAACATGGAGGAGGCACCGGCTGCGGGCGTCACCTGTGAGCGGGACTAACACCCGACTGGCGTTCCGGGTAGCGGTGCGGGGTCCCGAGCCCTGGGACTCCGCCGCCTCCACGCCCCACGGCGGACCCCGGCTCCGGTTGCTCCTCGGGCCGCGGGGTTCCCGACGGGGACGCAGCGCAAGGAGGGAGCGCGGCGGCCCCAAGTCCCCCTGAGCCATGGGCAACGAGGCGAGCTTGGAAGGGGAAGGGCTCCCGGAAGGGCTGGCGGCGGCGGCGGCGGCGGCAGCAGCCGGAGGAGGGGCTGGCGGGGCAGGGAGCTCCTTGCACACCGTGATCCCGGCCGGCATGGAGGCGGATCTGAGCCAACTGAGCGAAGAGGAGAGGAGACAGATCGCCGCTGTCATGTCAAGGGCGCAGGAGCTGCCCAAGGGAAGCGTTCCCCCGGCCGCTGCGGAGCCGCCTTCCATGCACAGGCACGCACAGCATGATGTATATGTCAGGGCATATATGTACAGCTTCCCGTGCACATATGTGCCAATCCGTATGTGCCAGCACGGCAGTACATATATGTTACTTCCGTTCATTTGATTCTCCCTAATGAGGTGATGATAAAGAGATCATAAGCCTTATGATGGGCAGAATAAAAATGATGCATTGTAGAGTTTCTGGTGGGATAGTCAAAGGTTGCATTCTTGGAACTGTGATTTTAGGTTGTGATTTTTTTGGCCTTTTGGAACCTTTTCCCTCTAGGATGGCGTGGAGAGACGCCCTCCAGTGTTTTACTAATCTGGAAGTCTTCCATTAATAGAAAACGGACGTGTTGGGAAATGGATAGAACTGGGTGTTTACCTGTCTCTATTTAAATCTCCTCAGTTATTTCGGCATCTTTTTCTCTGTGAATGATGTCTGAAATATTTCTCTCACAATACCTTTATTTCCCCTGGAGGTGATTTGTCCTTCCTTCCCACCCCACCCGCAGGGGAGAACAGGAGCTGTTTAGGTAGAAGGTATAGAATGAATACACCTTTTATAGTCAATGAGGGACCCTAAAATATGGTGTGGCATTAAACAGATGGTTTGGTCGCACCAGACCAGGTGCTGTACATGCATTTCTGAATTAGTATATGTTGTTTTTTAAACTATTGTTCTTTTATATGCAAAAGTCTTAGGTGATAGAAAAACCTGTGAATTTGTGTTATCTTAAGGTTAGTTTCCAATCCATTTTAAGACAAAGCAAATAAATGACAACTTGCTAGGCAATTAAGAGCTATTCTGTAATATTAACGTATTAATTTCCCTCTCTCACTCTCCATTTTCCTTCATCTAATAAATTAGTTGTTTTCTAATTAAAGTAGTAAGAGGGTATAATCATTGTGCCTGCCCTGCCTTTATTATTGTAAACAAACCCTTTAACTTTACACCCTCCCTTAGACTACAGTTCTCTGTCCGTTGTCCTGAAACCATTCCTGCTTTATGATAACTGAAGCGAGACCTACAATTTTCATTTGAGATATTGGAAATATGAAAGATCTGCATTTAGTAGGTGTAGATTCGTAACCTCTACTTCATAAAAGTATTTTAAGTTAGGGACTATCATATAAGTATATGGTATAATTTTATCAACTAATTATTTTGACATGGAAATGTAACAGTTGAAGTATTTTTAACATAAAATCATAAATGCTTAGAATATATCAGCTAAAAGCCCTATGTTCTTGAAACGAAGCCACCACTACTAGTAAAAACTTGCTCCTTTATGTTAAATGTGTTTTTCTGTGTTTTTCAGCTAGTAATATATGGTGCTGTTTCTTTGGTATAAAGTCTTTCTTATCCATTACCTTAAGTATTATAACTTATGATATGTACCATTTTTCTCTACTGATGAAAACCTGATGACTTGGAAAAAAATGTTGAACGTTCATATATTAGATTTTCATGGGGTAATAAGGAGGTACAGTACTTTTATTAGCCTTTTAGGAATGTATGCCAGCTCTTTCACAGTTTTTCCTAAGAGGTACATGCAACAGGTTTATCATGCTGGTTACACAGACCAAGGAAAAAGTGTGAGCTTTTATTTTAGATTCTTAACTTTTCTTCTGTTCAGAGGGTGACTGAAAAATAATGATTTCAGCCATTAAACTGGTTTTATGCTGTGCTTATATCAGATTCTGCACTGTTAATTTTGTTACAGAATTTTTATTAACAATCTGTGGGCTCAACAGTTAATGGTAAAAGCTTTATCTAATTGTATAAGCACTATATTTTTGATTTTTGAGAGCCGCTTATATTTTAGTGAAAGATTTTTATAAAATGTACATAATTTTTTGAAAGTTATCATCCCTGCATGTGATGACTAAAGAAACACTTAGTTTATCATTTAGATTTTTAGAAGCACACTAACTTAAGTATATATAAGAAAGTATATCCAAATTATTTAAAGTTTGAAGAGGTTAAGTATGTCAATGAGAGATGGTGGTTTTGTTTTGTTTGTTTTTGAATAAAGGTTGAGAACCCAGAGACCTAGGTTCTTACCTATTAATTTTAACAGACTCATGACAAATTATGTGTGCTTCTCAGCCTAAGTTCCTCAGTTTCCTTGCCTCCAAGTAAGGCATGTGACACTTGTCTTACCTATCTTGTAGAGTCATTGTGAGGATCAGTTACAAATTGACAGGGATGTTTTGGTTTGAATTTTAATTTGAAGGGACTCTATAAATATCAGAAGTAGTGATCTCATTATAAGCAGTGAATGGCGATGGCAGTGATGGCTCCAGACACATTGTATGTTGAGTTCCTCACTGTTGTGAGTTATTTTGATGTATCTGTATCTTTTTTTTTTTTTTTTACATGTGGGAAAGGCAGTGCCATGTAGTGGAACTTCCCCTCCCCCCTAACTAGGAATCCAGATACCAGATATGTGACTGACTAATTTTATAACCTCGGCTTAGTCACTTAGCCTCTTTAAGCCCTAGTGTCCTCTACAGTATAAAAATGAGTAGCTATCCCCAAAGTTGCTTATATTTCTTTTTTTTAAAGCTTTTTATTTATTTATTTGACAGAGAGAGATCACAAGTAGGCAGAGAGACAGGCAGAGACAGAGAGGGAAGCAGGCTCCCTGCTGAGCAGATAGCCCACGCGGGGCTCCATCCCAGGACCCTGAGATCATGACCGGAGCCGAAGTCAGAGGCTTAACGCACTGAGCAACCCAGGCACCCCTGCTTATATTTCTAACATCAAAAAAGTTTATGTGACTCAGCACTGTCAAGTGTCATTGCCTGTTTTGCTCCATTAAAAAAAAAAAAAGTTAGCATTCCAACTGCTTTTACATTCATATCTGTGAACACATGTTTACCTCATTGGTAGCTGAAATATTTTTTTCTGCTAATCTATAAAAGAAAAATTCTAATCTGGGGATGACAGTAGCAATGAAAAAGGAGGTTGTATAAAACATGGGTCATTACAAGCTAGAAATTACAGGTTACAAATGCTTCTGGACTTTGGATTAATTGAAGACCCAGGGAAAGCCAATTTTATCACTTGGTCTACTCATTCTGTGTATAGCCACAGATATGAGAAGGGCTTTACTTAAAAACACTTCCGACTAGTAGAATATTTTGTAGGAATTCTGGTTGAATCCCTTATTTTCTTTAGTATTTCTCTGGGCCTTTCCTACTGGTAGACAATTCCACAACTATTTTTCTTCCTAGAGTAGCAGGCCAAGTCCAGTTTCTAAAATGCATGTAGAATGTTTCCATTTGTATCTCAGAACAACTGTGAAGAATTTGAAAAGAATTCAGGAAACATTGATCTAGCATAAAACAAAAACTTGATTCATTCATTTATTCATTGTCATTCATTCATTTATTCATTCGTCAGACACTAATGCTCTAGTTAACAGGTTTGGGTCCAGTGATGCAAAGATGAGTGAAACACTTTCTCTAGGAGGTCACAGTATGGTATACAAGACACAGATTGCATTTTATTCATTTTTCTATTTAATAGAACAGCTGTTAGACCAAACAAAAACTCACCCAAAGACCACGGTTAGCTGAGACATCTTTATATTTTTGTTCTGTATTAAGGCTATATGTTCTTTTAGCAGTTATCTGTTTCTCACATCCATATCTCCATGTTTAATGTTTATCTATATAATACGAGTAGCTGAAAGTAGTTTAAATTGTAGGGCAGTCTTTATAGCTGTATCAGTATTTTTTTCTGGGGATTTTATTATATAACTTATATTTGTAGGAGGTACATATAATTTCTGTTGTAAGCTTGCTTTAAATTTTAGTATTGATACACAAGTATTTGGTATTCACAAAGTTTTTTTTTATTTGTTTTGTACAACGTTGGATTATGTGAACACAAAAACAATGATTAAGTTTAATAGTATTTTCAGGAGAGGACAATTATATTAAGAATAGATTTGTGTGTGAATGTGTGTGTGTGTGTGTGTGTGTGTGTGTGTGTGATCTTTAAATATAGGTCTCTAGGACTCTACTGAGGAGCCAATTCAATAAAATACCAAAATAATTCCTTATGAGATAGGTACTTCTGTTAATGAAGTTCCTAAGCACGTGCCCTTCATGAAAATGGTAGATTTTATTAATTGAATGTGGAACATTTCTAGAATAATGTGAAGATCTAAACAGTGAAATTTTTGAAAGTAATGTATTTTAAGTTGTTTACTGTAGCTCTTCTATCTTCCTGTGGAGGGGAACAACACATAGAGCAGCCTGTACAGAAACACTTAAAATTATTTTCCCCACATGGAAATCTATAGTGTTTTAAAAGATACCTTAGAACCATTGGAATTAATTAGGGTAATAATTTTAGTTCCTTGTTTAAGTTACCTAAAGTTTTTGTAACTTTTGTCCTGGAGGAAATTGCCAAAACTAAGAATTCCATTTATTAAACTTTTATTAGAAAATTGCTTTTTGCATACATTGGCTTTTAAAATTATTTCCTTCTGATTTTTTGGTATTTAGAGGTAATACTTCTGTATTTCTTTCTACTATGCTTTATAACTTGATTGCTCTCAAATTTCTGCACTATTTTGGGGAATTTTAAAAACTTAATTCATATTAAGTACTAAATGATTTGAAATTAAAAGTTTATAATCTGGCCCATTAGCTGGTAACTTTTCACAAACCAAATGAAAACCTGTAGGACTTTATTGTGACCATCTCATATTTTAAGTGCTACTGAATAGCTGTTTCTTTCTCTTTTTTCTTTTAATTAAAAAGAAATAAATCTTTTCTTTTTTTTTTTAAGATTTTATTTATTTTATTTGACAGAGATCACAAGTAGGCAGAGAGGCAGGCAGAGAGATAGAGAGGAAGAAGCAGGCTCGCCGCTGAGCAGAGAGCCTGATGTGGGGCTTGATCCCAGGACCCTGGGATCATGACCTGAGCTGAAGGCAGAGGCTTTAACCCACTGAGCCACCCAGGCGCCCCAGAAATAAATCTTTTCAAAAATTAAAAAGCTTCCTATATCAAATGAAATACTTGGAAGTTTATTTTTATGTAATTCTAATACAGCCTGTTCTTCTTAGTTGCATCAGTAAAGAATGGCTTATTTAAAAAAGTGATGTATTTGGGGCGCCTGGGTGGCTCAGTGGGTTAAGCCGCTGCCTTCGGCTCAGGTCATGATCTCAGAGTCCTGGGATCGAGCCCCGCATCGGGCTCTCTGCTCTCTAGGGGAGCCTGCTTCCTCCTCTCTCTCTGCCTGCCTCTCTGCCTGCTTGTGATCTCTCTGTCAAATAAATAAATAAAATCTTTAAAAAAAAAAAAAAGTGATGTATTTGATTTTTGGTTGAAAATATTAAAAAATTAGCTATTTCCACAGTCATTTCAAAGTGATCATGTTTCCAAAACTATTTAAAAAATCATCACTTATGTTTGTCTATGAATTAAATTTTGCAAATTAGTTATGTTCTTACATCTTTGTCAGTAATAAATGATATTGCTAATAATCTAACAGTGACAATAGTAAATGTTACAGAAAACATTAAGTAAGGCAATTATGTATTTTTTTCTTCTGAGAAAAGTAACAGTACCTTCAAAAGTGGGGTCATAGCCACCTCGTTGCTATCTGTGGACAAGGCTGTATCTCAAGATTCTTTAAGCATCTGTCATTATCTTGCATAGGGACCTCAGATTAAAAATGAGCTATCGGAAAAGTAATTAAATGACATAACATTTTTCTCCTACAAGAAATATGGAATTGTTTCTCAAAAATTTTAAATTAAAGTAGGACTTCTTATTTTATAAAGTTTAATAAGGATATTATTTGAGGGATATTATCTCTGTCAACAGAATACGGTAAAATTGAATAGATTTATCAAGTTTCTCAGAGTCCCAGGAAACGCATCACATAATCTCCTTTTCTAAAATGTTCTCTGATGTCATGTGTGCCATATGTTGCTAATGTAACTTCTTGTAATTCAGTAAAGCACACAAATAAAAAGAGTTGCAACAAGCTCCCACATTTTAACATGAGTATTTTTAATTCTTGGTGTTACTAGTATTTGGAAGAATAACATTCCTCAAAGATGAATGTACAAGAACATGGCTCTGCATTGGTTTATGGAGTTAATACATTTAATGAGTTTTTAAGGATGGTTAGATTCAATTAAGTGTGAATGTAAACTACTATAAGTAATGTCTAACTAGATATCTTAATTTTTCATCACTTAGAGTAGCAAGTATTGATTTTTTTCCTCCCTCTTGTTTACCTTGTTGAAAATCTCTATCCACGTAAAGAAAGTAACAAAGACTTAAAAGATCTTACGATTATTTACAGGATGCCGCAAAAATGTGTTCTAGTTACATCTGTACACGTGTAATTTTGAGGCTTTAGGAAAGTAATGCCTCATTAAGATTATTTTGAGTTGGGATATTTTCCATTATTTTGACTTCCTTTTGTTTCATTCTTCTAGGAAGCAAGAGTTGGATAGTAGTCATCCTCCAAAGCAACCAGGAAAACCGCCGGACCCTGGGCGTTCGGCTCAGCCTGGTCTCAGTAAAAGTAGAACTACAGACACTCTGAGGTCAGAGCAAAAGTCGCCTGGAAGGAGTCCTTCCACTATTAGCTTGAAAGAATCAAAGTCCAGAACTGATTTGAAGGAAGAGCCCAAGACTAGTATGATGCCTGGCTTCCTCTCAGAGGTTAACCCTTTAAGTGCTGTCTCCTCTGTTGTAAATAAATTGAATCCTTTTGATTTGATATCAGACTCTGATGCATCCCAGGAAGAAACTGCCAAGAAACAAAAAATAGCTCAGAAAGAACAAGGAAAACCGGAAGGAATCACAAAGCCTCCATCACAACAGTCACCTAAGCCAGGTCCAAAGCAGCAAGGACCTGTGAGGGTCCCACCACAGCAGGATGGCTCTCCCAAATCAGTATCTTCTCAGCAACCGGAAAAAATGAAGTCACAACCTCCAGGGACAGGCAAGCCAATTCAGGGGCTTACCCAGTCACCTCAGACAGACCAGGCACAGTGGCCACTTCAAAGAGATACAGCCAGGCCTCAGACTAAACAGTCTGATGCTGTAAGGGGAGAATCTGTTAAACCTGCACTGCAAAGCCCATCCAAACCACCTTTTCAGCAAGCAAGCCCTGGAAAAGCTCCAGCCCAGCAACCTGGACCTGAAAAAGTTGCCACGCCACACCCTGGGCCTGCAAAGCCCTCAGCTCAACAACCAGGGACAGCAAAGCCTGCTGCTCAGCAGCCTGGGCCAAAGTCTTCAGCTCAGCCTCTTGGGCCTGCGAAGCCTCAAGTGCAACAGGCTGGGGGAGAGAAGCAGCCAGGGACACCAAAGTCTCAGCAGCCAGGGCCAGCAAAGCCCACAGCCCAGCAGCCAGGGACACCAAAGTCCCCAGCTCAGCTGCCTGGGCCTGCAAAAACTCCTTCTCAGCCGGTTGGGCCAACAAAGTCTCTGGCTCAGCAGCCTGGTCGGCCAAGCCCCCTCCTCAGCAGCCTGGCCCGGCCAAGCCCCCTCCTCAGCAGCCTGGCCCGGCCAAGCCCCCTCCTCAGCCGCCTGGCCCGGCCAAGCCCCCTCCTCAGCAGCCTGGCCCGGCCAAGCCCCCTCCTCAGCAGCCTGGCCCGGCCAAGCCCCCTCCTCAGCAGCCTGGCCCGGCCAAGCCCCCTCCTCAACCACCTGGCCCGGTCAAGCCCCCTCCTCAACAGCCTGGCCCTGCAAAGCCTTCACCTCAGCAGCCTGGTCCAGTAAAACCTCCCCAACAGCCTGGCCCAGCAAAGGCTTCAGCTCAGCAGTCTCCAAAACCAGTAAGCCAAACAGGAGCTGGGAAACCTCTGCAGCCACCAGCTTCTCCATCTGCGGCACAGACTCCAGTACAAGGCCTCCCTAAAACCATCTGTCCTCTTTGCAGTACCACTGAACTTCTGTTGCATGTTCCAGAAAAGGCCAATTTTAACACATGCACTGAGTGTCAAACCACTGTCTGTAGCCTCTGTGGCTTTAATCCCAATCCTCATTTAACCGAGGTGAGTGCATTTATTCACTGTGTTCATGCTCTTAACCCGTATCACCATCTTGCACAAATAATGCTTAGTTTATCCGTGGTATCATAGGATGATATTGTTTTCCTCTCATCCTTTCCTGCCTCCCCTCCTTCCTTCCTTCCTCTTTGTCTTCCCTGCCAATTGTAAGTTTAAAAAAAGTTAAATATTTTCTCCAAGAATAAGCCCAAAATATTGCCACAACTTCTGATAAGTTTGGCATATAAAGTGAAAACGAATTAGGTCAGAGATGCTGAGCATTGACTCATTGCACTCTGTCCTGTAAGATCCCCGCTACTGATTGTGGAGCTTACAGTGATATTTATTGTTCAGTGTGCAGTGATAATTAGTTTAACTTTTAAATTCATACTCCGGCCTACCCAACTTAAGATACTCTTAACTGGGGTCATATCTGTGCTGGGAAATAAAAGCAGTTGTTGTTTTTGCATTACAAATACAATTTTAATATAAAATTGAATAAATTTTCCCAAACTGTATGTCCCCTTTCCCTGCCAGTGATTTTGTCATAGCTGTGAAGGCATGATTTGCTCATTAGTTGAGAGTCATTTAGAACAGTATAAGTCAGTTTGTAAAGTGAAGACGTCATGAGAACAGGTTCACCATTGATGGGTGTCTTCTCAGAAGACCACAATTTATATCTTCAAGTCTTTTGGTAAGACTTCCTGACCTATCAGATCGTAAAGGGGCCAGTAGTGACACAAATGGGCTCAACGTTGTTTACTGTGAGGGTAGAAAAATAATTCTCAAGAAGTCAGTTAAGGTTAACCCAGCACTTAAAGGTGCCGGATAATGAAAGATTTAATAGGTAGAGATTTGGGAACTTTCAGGGAGAAGGGGCAAAAAGCCCAGAGCAACAAAAAAGCTCAGAAATTTTCTGGAGTTAAGAAGTAACATAGTGAAGATGAGATAATAATATAAGTGAGAATAGAGAGGCTAGAAGAATACATTTTTAAAAGAAATCTGGTGGCTCCTACCTGGTGAGAAGGCACAGAAATCACTTTGTCTGGAGAACAGCTGTTAGTGGGCTATGTGTGCATTTCGTCTGCGAACAGCCCAAGAAGGAACTGACAGCAGGCAATGAAGAATTATGTGATTAAAAGATCCCTGAGAGAGGAGACTTGTGTACCCTTGTTATAAATGAAATCTATTCTATGATAATAACAGCATTGATGATTATTAGTAGCTGTTATGTTACTTGGGATACTTACTGTGATGAGAGATTAAAATGATTTCAATTAAAAGTGTGTTAACTTCTGGTTGTTTTCCGAAGTATCATTTACTCTTCTTATCCAAAAGTCCTATTAAGCACCTTAGCTTTTCAGATAAGCCATCTTTAGTATAACATTGCAATTAATAAGAACATGCTGCATTCAAATTGTAGCGGAAATTGGATTCTAAGTAGTTTGTTTATATAGTTGTAGCTTTTAAAATTTTGGCAAAGATATGTTTCTGCTCATACTATATGATGATGTCAGGAATGGAGGGTAGTAATGACTTCAAACAATAGGTGATCATTTCATAAAATGTCATTTTGGGGGGCAATTTATAAAGCAGAGGCATGTAGTCAGACTTTGAAGCCATGTATATTATTAGAATACCTACTATATGGAAGACATTTTAATACATGTTTGGAAGGATATAAAGATAACTAAAACATAATGCAGATCTTAACAAGATCAAAGTGTATATATGCAAAGGGCAATGTAATAAGTGGTCATATGATAAGAGTTATGAGAAAGATGGACAAATACTCTGGACTTCAGAATAAGAAGTGTACTTTCCAATGGGTGAGATTAAGAAAAGTTTCATAGAGAAATTGGCATGTGAGCAATTTTGAGCTAAGGATGGATACTGTTTCAACAGATGAAGGGCAAGGAAGGGGGTGATGATTTGGCCCAAGACCAGAGCCGGAAAAACATACGGTGTATTTAAGGAATCAGAGGTAAATCTAGGTTGGCTGAAGTGATGTGGGGGGTGAATAGGCAATGAGATTGGAGAAAAGTCGAAGTCAGATTTTGGCCTTCCATGTTTAGCAGGTTGCAGTGAATATCTGCTTTATGAAACTTACCCTTGATTAATGTAATCATACATCCAACCATTCATTCATTCTGCTAGTTTGTATCAAATGCCTATTGTGAAGCATCCATGATTGCTGTGACAGAATTAAGAAGTCATTGAATGTGCTCTTTCTTCCAGGAAATAAAGTAGGAGAAAGAGAAGTTGTACTTGAGAAAGAAAAACGTATATATATGTGAAGTAACTTTGTACAGGGCTTTACAGTTGGCATAGTTCTTTCCTACTTGTTTTACCAAAATTTAATTTCTAAATAATTCCATGGGCATATATTCTGTTGACTGTAACAACGAGAAAACTAGTGTTCTGGTGGTTACTATGGTTACTTTTTACTTGTTAAGATCATCCTGATAGTAAATAATCAAGCAGAAATCAAACCAGATCTTCTGATTACAAATCTATTTACTTATGGTAGGAATAGAGATAAGTTCTATGAGATTATTTTTTTTTTAATTTTTTAAAAAAATTTTATTTTCTTTTTCAGTGTTCCAAAATTCATTGTTTATGCACCACACCCAGTGCTCTATGCAATATGTGCCCTCCATAATACCCACCACCAGGCTCACCTAGACCTCCAAACCCCTCCCCTCCAAAACACTCGTCTCTTTCTCAGAGTCCACAGTCTCTCATGATTTGTCTCCCCCTCCGATTTCCCCCAACTCACTTTTCCTCTCCAACTCCCAAATGTCCTCTGTGTTATTCCTTATGCTCCACAAGTAAGTGAAACCATATGATAATTGACTCTCTCTGCTTGACTTATTTCACTCAATATAGTCTCTTCCAGTCCCGTCCATGCTGATAGAAAAGTTGGGTGTTCATCCTTTCTGATGGAGGTATAATACTCCATTGTATATATGGACCACATCTTCTTTATCCATTCGTCTGTTGAAGGGCATCTTCGTTCTTTCCATAGTTTTGGCAACTGTGGTCATTGCTGCTATAAACATTGGGGTACATTGGCCCTTCTTTTCACTACATCTGCATCTTTGGGGTAATTGCCTAGTAGTGCAATTGCAGGGTCATAGGGTAGCTCTATTTTTAATTTCTTAAGGAATCTCCACACTGTTTTTGCAAAGTGGCTGCACCAACTTGCATTCCCACCAATAGTGTAAGAGGGTTCCCCTTTCTCCACATCCTCTCCAACATTTGTTGTTTACTGTCTTGTTAATTTTGGCCATTCTAACTGGTATAAGGTGGTATCTCAGTGTGGTTTTGATTTGAATCTCCCTAATGGCTAATTATGATGAACATTTTTTCATGTCTGTTAGCCATTTATATGTCATCTTTGGAGAAGTGTCTGTTCATGTCTTCTGCCCATTTTTTGAAATGATGATCTGTTTTTTGTGTGTTGATTTTGAGGAGTTCTTTATAGATCTTGGCTATCAGCCCTTTGTCTGTAGTGTCATTTGCGAATAAGTTCTATGAGGTTAAAGGAAGAATACATCACTATCACTGGTGGGGGGTGCACAGGCATCATAACTATTTTCATGGAAATGGAAGTATTTGGGATGGAAATCTGAAGAGGGATTTAGACACTTATAAAAGGCCCTGGGAATGTGGGACCGGTGTTCCTCATTAGCTCATTAAAGGAAACCATTCCCATTATTGATGAGATAAACTTTCTGTAGCAAGGACATCATTTGAAATCTGAATGTAATAATGTATTCTCTGCTAAACATTTTGGGTTCTTAGGAGGATTCTCTGTACATTTGCATGAGAAGGTATTTTTAAATATATTAAGTGCTTTTTAAGTTGCAGTATAGCACAGCATGGATAATTTTTTAACTTATAAAGTTTATTCTCAACTTGTTTCTTTAAACAGATACACTATCCTAAGTCGTTGGGTTCTGAGGTAGCAATCAAGAGCCATTTCATTTATAGCATTAATAGTAACATTACTTTTATCTTTTTCCCATAAGTAAAAATATCATCTGGGCTCTGGTTCTGAACTCTAGGAAGGCACCTTCCCTAATCCTGTGCACCAGATGGCCAGCTCCTCACTCTTGAATTATCAGGGAGTCAGATTTGGGAAATTAGAGTTCTGCATAGAGACAGAGAGCTGCTTTTTCGAGGGACAAGATAGGTGAAATTTTGGGAATAATCACTACTTCTGAACTGCTCTATATACCCACGCAGAAGTGAACTTCTCTGCATCTTCTGAAGAAGATGTAACCCTCTGGGTCAAAATGTCCTCAAATATTCAGATTGAGTAAACAGTATTTCTATGCAGGACAGGGACAGAAGTGGGACATTCTTTAGTACTTTAACTTACATGGATTTATTATTTTCAAGTTTGATGTTTATATGCAAATAGTGTAATATTATTACTTTTTTAGTCTGTGGATTAAGTAGAATACTGCTTTTTTATATCAGTTCTGGAAAAGATTAGGAGAATTTCTCAGATATATTTTGTTACCAATGTATCAGAATTATGACCGTATTTGCTTAAAAATACCCTAGCTCTTAAATGAACACCAGTTAGGGGATGATTAGAGAGGTTTCATCATTCAGACACGAGCTTTAGGAAAGGGGATTTTTACTTCCTTAACTAAATTTGTCAGCTTTGTCTTACCCCTGCCTGCCACACACACGCACACACACACACCCTCATGCAACTCAAATATCTGTGTGAAGAGGATGGTATTTAAACCGTCCACTCTGCTGGCTGTCAAGATGTGTGCTGTTCCAAATAAACCTTAAGAATCTACTGGCTCTGAGCCTAGACTTTTGATGCCAACACGAGTTTATAGCTATCTCTTCTTGCCAGTCCATTAGCAGAATAAATCGTAACAATGCAGGTTCTCTCTTTGGGGTTGCTTTTTGACACAGAAACTGAATATTTGCTTTTCTAAATAGCAACTAAAGCATTTTTTTGTTATTGTTTTTGTTGC